CGACGTGCCCAACGGACTTGCAGCGATTTCCAAGGTGCCTGCAGCAGGTTGGGGACAGATCTTGGCCTACATGGCATTCTGCGAGGTGTCCCAGGATCAGTCTCCTGGCACACCTGCTGCTGCGGGAGACTTTGGCTTCAAGGTCTTGACTTCATCTGACCCTGAAGAGAAAACGAAAAAGCTCTCAGCGGAGCTGGCAAACGGACGACTTGCGATGATGGCGATCATTGGCATGTTTTTCCAGGAGATCATTTCTTGTTTCATGATATTCATGACACTTGAAGATATGTTTGTGTTTTTTGTTGTAAACGTGTCAGCAGATACTAATTTATGTTTCCATGTCATTCATTTGCCAGCCAACTGATTTGTGTGTAGTTTATGATGTGCAGAGCTGGCAGAGCCAACAACACGAGGGTGTTTGTTTTACTACGCAGGATGGCCTGACCGGCAGCGCCTGGGGAGACTGGGCCAACTACACTGCATCTCCTTTGCGAGCATTCGAGAATGAGCTGGGTGTGCAAGCACCAGTTGGGTTGCTTGCTTTTCAACAATATTTACTCCATATATATATATATTGATAATTAGTTATATAGTTAACGTTGCTTACTTGTGTTTTGGAATCATATGTTGTGAGATGTTGAAATAATACCTTGGCATGTTGGTCCCTTGATCATAGTATATCTTTGTTGTAGTGTGTCAATTTTGAAGAAGATGTCCTTCAGCAGAGGTTATATGTTTCTTCCTTGAAGGACTATTCTTGTTTGGCCAAAGAGTGACTTGAATATGAGGTTTTGGGATCCTGCTGGTTTCACTGCGGATGGCAGCGTTGAGGACTTCCAGCGACGTCGTCAGACCGAGTTGAAGCACGGAAGAATCTCCATGTTGGCCACCATGGGTTATATTACTCCTGAGTGACTCGTCGAACTGAGCGTGTCTTCACTAGCAGAACATGATACAACACAATCAGGTATATAGTCTGGTCTAGACATAGTACGAGGTTCAATGACTAGAATGCAGCCTTCAAGTAGTCATTCGATGTCATTCGCATTGCAAGCTGAAGTACGTGTGATATGTTTGTTTAGATAAGCTGCTGAGCAATCTTAGCTGTTACAAGCTCGGAGCAAAGCTAAGAACGTATTTGGCGCTGTGCTTGTGATCAGTCATTGTGATAGCATGAAGTATCGTTGCATTTGACTGGCTACCGGCTACCTGACCAAGGATCACTGGAAAGTTGCCAGGTTATCTTTCGCCATCTGCCGGCTTGAAGTTCGCCGACGTGCCCAACGGACTTGCAGCGATTTCCAAGGTGCCTGCAGCAGGTTGGGGACAGATCTTGGCCTACATGGCATTCTGCGAGGTGTCCCAGGATCAGTCTCCTGGCACACCTGCTGCTGCGGGAGACTTTGGCTTCAAGGTCTTGACTTCATCTGACCCTGAAGAGAAAACGAAAAA